AGACGCCTGCGACTTTGACGGGGTCCATTTCGACGTGGTTGTGGGAGATGATGACTCCGAGGTACTCGATTGACGATTTTTCAAAGTCGCACTTCTCCGCTCGAAGGTACAACTTGTGCTCCCGGAGTCGCCATAAGACCTCCTGAACAATCTGCCGGTGTTTCCAGAGGTCGGAATGGGCGATCAGGATGTCGTCAAGGTAGATCATGACGTCTCCGGAGAGGATGAGGTCCTGGAAAATGTCATTCATCATCGTTTGGAACGTCGCGGGAGAGTTTGTCAGGCCGAAATACATTACCAAGGGCTCAAACAGGCCTCGGTTAGTCCGGAAAGCCGCTTTCCACTTGTCACCTTCCTTGATCCGGACGTTGTTGAAGCCCCAATGGACATCGAGTTTGGTGAAGTAATGAGCGCCTTTGAGCCAGTTGATGAGGTCGTTGATCAGCGGAAGGGGGTACCGGTTTTGACAGTCATCGCGTTGAGAGCACGGTAGTCCTGGACGAAGCGGAGTCCGCCGTCCTTCTTCTTGACGAAGAAGACCGGAGACGCCATCGGAGACTTGGAGGGGCGAATCCGACCCGTCGAAAGCCCTTCCTCGATGAACGCGTCGAGCTCGCGTTGCTCGAGGGGCGAGATGGGATACACCTTGCAGTTGGTGGGCTTAGCGTCGGGGACAAGCTCAATGGCGTGGTCCCAGGCTCTCCGCTCCGGTAGCGTGTCGAAGGACTCCTTGTTGAAGACGTCCTGGAACTCCTTAGCCCAGTCCGGGATCTCGGAGGGCGGTGGGGCGGAGTTCCTGGCAAAGGCTTCGGCCAGACGCTGTGCGACGGTGCTACCTGCGCGTATCTCCTCTGAGGGACGGAACGAGGTGTAGAAGATGCGGTCACCATCTTCGAGCTGGTCATCTTCATCATCCGAGTCCGAGTCCGGTGTCAGATCAGGCAGGTCGGAATCGAGACCGGAATCAGAATCATCTCCGTCCTCAGGGCCAGAGAGGTCCATAGTGCAAACCGAGGGGAACGGGCCGGAGCGGAGACGCTTCTGGAGCGACCGGAGTCGCCGCAGCTCAGTCCGTTCGACGCGCTCTTCCTGACGGCAGGTCGAGCAATTGCGGGGGCACCGTGTCATCTTGACCTCCTTGGTTTCCCAATTGATCTCTGGGTTATGCCCCAGGATGAGGTCTTGTTTACCAAGATGAGTGACGGCGAGTTGAACTCGTTCGGCGTGGCCTTTGTAGCGCAGGACCAAGTCCGCGATCTGTTTGATGGAGCCAGCGTCATTGGGGGTGCCATCGATATTGAAAACCGGAATCGGCTGATCGAGGGTGCGGACCGGGATGCCGTTCCGAGCAACATAGTTCGTGTCAATGAAGTCGGAGGTGGCACCGCAGTCAACGAGCCCAGAGAGCCAGAGCTTCAGCCCGCTGGTGGTGGACTCTAGCTCCAACGGGAGGTGGAGGGAGTTCGCCCCAGGGGCACCGGCAACAGTATACTGCTTGGGCAGTTTCTTTTCCCAGGCAGTAAGGCGGCGAAGGACGATGACTGGAGTCGCGGGCGGAGTCGGAGACGGAGTCGAGGCGGGGGCAGGAGAGGGTGTGTCTTTTGTTTCGGGCTCATTGTAGGGCAAGGAACTGCATTCATCATACAAGGAGGCAAAACGATTTATAGACGCGAACGAGGGCACACCAGTCACTCGTCGCGGGGGACAAAACCCTCTCCGGCAGGGCAGCTGTGTCCGTGTAGCGGGCGATCAACTCCGCTAACATCTCATCACCGAGTTGTTGGATCACCTCGTCGAGGATGTCCATCGAGTGGACATCGGCGGGGAGGGGTCAATCCCGGGCGAGATGGTTTGGGTCGCCGCACCTGAAGCAGGCGCGACGAGGGGCACCCCGAGCCCTGGTGCGATCCAACTCCATAGGGACGGGAGCCGGAGGCGCCTGAGCGGGGGCGCGGGCCGCGGGTGGCACGACCGGAGCCACCGGGCGGAAAGGGGCCGGAGCCGGGATGCGGTTGACCGGAAACGGAGTCCGAATCAAACCGCCAGGCATCTTGGGGGCGGCTGACTTGATCAGCTTGGCCCGGACCAGGGCCTCGTATTAACGGAAGGCCCGGGTGCGCCAGCTAAGGTAATCCTGGAGGTCCGGGGGGTTGTTCGAGGACGTGATTCCATTGTTGATCAAGGGGTCAAGTCCGTGGTGGAACTTGGTCACCTTGACCAGCGCGTCTTCGAATCCAGCGAGGTCCATCAGGTCCTCGAAGTCGTCAGTGTACTGGTAGACATCCTTTGTACCCATGTGATAGGCGGAAGTCTCCAGCTTGGAGAGAGCGTGATCTTGCTCGTTCTCCTCAACGAACCGGAGCCGAAACTCGGAAACGAATGAGCCCCAAGACGGAAACGGAAACGGGGCTTTGCTTCCGTGGCGCTCTGCCCATTACTGAGCAGGTCCTTCTGCCATAAACGACATGGCATAGCGGACGACCTTTTCCTCGCTTGCCTCTCCGTTGACCACGAAGGCCTCAGGGGCGAGGCGGGCATAGGTGCGGACCGCGTAAAGAAACGCGCGGCCGCGTTTCCAGTTGCCGTTGAAGGTGAACGGGGGGTTTAATTTTGAGGCGAGGTTGATGTCGCCAAAAAGGGCTTCGGAGTTGCCCTGGACCGGAGTCGGAGTCGGAATTGACGTCTCCGGCGATGGTGTTTGGGGTCTGCCAGCATTATTAGCGGCAGCGGAAGCCTGGTTGGTGAGTAAAGCAAGGGCCTCAGTTAGGCTATCAATTTTCGCCTCGAGTGAGTCCAGCCGGGCATCTGCGGTAGGAGTGACTCCGGACGGCATGACGGGTGCGGGGACCACAGGAGTAGAGGAGGAGGGGACAAGTGGCAGGGGGTGGTGACGAGGGCAGAACGGACTCGTACTCCGAGCCTGAGTCAGCGCCAAACCTGGTAATCTTGTCCGCTTGATCCCGTAGAGAGTTTCTTCTGCTGTAAGGGCAACCCCGGGGGGCTGAGATCAAGGTCCTAGCAGGGGAGGATCCAAAGCGTGAACATCGGTAAGCGAATACAAATGAAGCTGACCTAGCAGGGGAGGATCCAAAGAGAAGAAACTCTAAGGGTCCGCCTACTAGGGAGCTGACTATATACTGCTTGTCCGTAGCTGCCGCTGTCGGGCACAGAAGGCTTGGGCGGCGTCGCAGGTCCCAGGGCGACCGTTGGGAGGGCGTTGACGGATTGGTGATTGTGCGGGCGAGATGGAGGGCCGGACCGGAGTCGGAACCAGAATCGGACTGGAATCGGACGCGTCTCCGGGCCGAAAGGGAGGTTCCCCTGACAATATTTAATAAAAGTTCAGATAATGGTTCTTATATCACTTCAGTTACTGAACTACCTGAGAAATTCAGCATGTATGTCACCTATAACCTAGATAACTATCATATGGGGCCAGCAAAAAAGGAGAATTGGACAGATGATCTTGCAGATCAGTATCCATTTGGTAGACTTCAGGCCAAGGACTAGGAACAAGCATGGCTGCATTATAGTTTCCAAGACAGGCATGCTCAGGGTTTGGCTACAAAGGAGGAGGAAGCAATGTGGGGAGGAATAAATAACCATAAATTACCATTGAAACCTCAGTGGCATTTTTAGCAAATCAAAAATTAATGTTTGAACTGATTCAATAGACCTATTTATCCCACCGGATAACACAGGTCATATCAGGTACAAGTTGTCAGTTATAAATATGCTTTCCAGTCTGTGATGAGCCCAGCAGATGGAGGTAGTGAGTTTGTTCTATCACACCGGATTTGGTAAAATATCCCTTGAAGTAGAAACTGTTGTAGATTCTTCCAAAATCTAGAACCAAATCAACCTGTGGAGATTTGCCCAAAATATACATTTTTGAAACTGAGAATGATTTTAGTCAAATATATACGAGTTTTAGACAGTCTGAGATAAAACTATCTATGGGACTGAAACCATTCCTGAAATGGTTGATATCTGTGCACACATATGTTTGGTCATGATATCACGCGCATCAAATGTGGTGAAACTGACAGTGAAACAAAGGAAATCATTTCACTGACAGTTTCAGCACAGATGATACAAAGGAAATGCACATACATTCTCTTTGTTTCTATTTGCATTTCTCCACTGCTGAAACTGTGGGTTTACAGTACAATGAAATCATTGTTGAAATCTCAAATTTATTCATGCCAGAAATTGTGATTAAAACTGTCAGTATATACATTGGAGAAATTGTAAGAGATATTGTATGTATATCAGTGACTTGAGGGTCAACCCTCAAGTTAACCCTCAAGTCAACCCCAAGGGTCTGACCTCTGGGTAGACCCTACAAGTTCAGTCGCTAGCTACATATTTAAATACATAATTAGCATGAATGGGATAACCCTTAATACATGTTACTATTCAGTTTAGCTATGACTCGGTGGGGCGGTGCTCGTGAAAATGGTATAAAGGGAGGACGAAACGGCCTGTGGTACGGCAGCGGAATGGTTCTGCGTGTCCGGTTAGCCCTGACTCGCACGCAGCTCCAACGCCAGGGCTCCGAGTCATGGCTTACCATGACGACGTCTGCACCCCGCCGTCTTCGCTCTGCTCAAGGTCTTCGCCCACAGACCGTACGACCCGGAGTCAGCGTTATCGCTGGCTTGGGTCCATCGACGCTGTTAAATCGTCCCTAGTCCTTTGCCGATGCTTTGCTCAGCTCGCTCTGGCTGCGGCGTCACTGTGAACGGTGAAGGTCCGTTGTCCCTCGGTTACTCCGCTAGCTGTCCCTGATGACCGCCAAAGCCGTACGCATGCTTGTCGACGGGTATTCCAGTGTCGCGCTCGCCAGCAGGAACCCTTCGACTCAATCGGAATTAGCCAGCAGTTGTGCCGTCAGGATCGGGTCGCTCGTCAGCCGCCGCAAATTTAAACACCCAATAGTCCTGGGTATACATACACCGAAATACATTTCGCTACACCGCACTCCTTCCGTACACAGCCTACGGCTTCTTCACTGCACCCACGATCTGCTCGATGATCGTCACGAGCTGGCCCTTGCTCGAGCTCGTCGGGCACGTAAGCCCGTTGGCCGCCGCCGCACGCTCCGCCAACCCCTGGCGCGCGTCGCCCGGCAGCCTGTATCCCGCGCCAGCGAGTCCGATGCGGCCGAGCCCGCGGCCCGGCTCCGGGGCCCGCTTGGACGCCGCGCTGAAGCACTTGGCGTAGAGGTCCCACGCGCCGGAGTAGAGCGGGTACTCGCCCTCGCCGATGAGCCCGAAAAGCGAGCCGCTCGCGCCGACGTTGACGCCGAGCCCCGCGGAGATGTCCACACAGCCGTCGACGGTGCCCGAGGCAGCGTTGCCCGAGGTCCCGGTAGAGGCATTCGCGGATGCGGAGAGGGAGAGGTCGATGCCGGTGCTGGCGTCGAGGTTAAGGTAGACCTGTGCCTTGGCGATACCGGAGAAGGCGTTCAGGCCCAGCGTGAGTTGTGGGATGAGGTGGCCCGAGACGGTGCCCGAGGTCTTGATCGATGGTTGGACGGAAAGGGTGAGTTCTGAGTCGAGTGAGAGTAGCACATGGAGCAAGAAAGCGACGAACGGCTGTTGTCTGGGTTGAAGCCACCGACAGCAGAAGGCTGGGGCGGAATATAAGCACGCGCGTTGGCGACGTTGTACTTGAGATCAACGCCGATTGAGAGGTCGCCAGACTTGATGTTAGCGTCGGCCTTGCCCAGCAAATCGAAGGTGGGCTATAATCACCAACTCAGCAACGTGGATTGGAAGTGGAGAACAGTGGCGTACGCCAAGCGTGAAGATTCCAGGGACATCAACGCCCGCGAGAGCGACAGAGTACAAGGAGACCTTGCCAGTAGAGTACGTGCCCTGTATCATAGTCAGTTCCCGAGTAAATGGAAGCAGAATAGAGAGACTGACGAGAGCAGTAGCGTCCAGCGAAAGGCGCGCACCCGCATGGCCATCGAGGCCGCCAAAGACCGCGAACTGCGTAATCTCGGCGGGAATGACGGTGCCCGCGACAACTAGCCCAAGCGAGACCGTAAGGTCAACGTCGACGTTCAGGGCGGTGGCGACGGAAGCGGTGAAGTTGGGGCAGTTGACCGAACCAGAGAAGAGAGGGTATTTCTGGTTGAGCTTGATGGGAGGGCTGAGGAGGGTGAGTGAATGGATAAGGGGTGGGGGAATACGGACAGAGTGCTGGAGAGAGTGTTGTTATAGCCGGTGGGATCTGAAGATACTATTAGATAGGATTGAAATGGCATAGATGGGAAACGCACTGCCCCCGCGTCTCGCGACGTCCTTCGCCGGTGCTGTAACGGTTCCCTGGTAGTTGTACCCCTCGATGCGGAATTCAACAGGACCAGTCCTAGCGGATGTACATTAGATCGCACACAATCGTGGGAATTAGTACATACACACTAGCGTCGACCTTGGCAAAATCGGTATCGACCCTGATCAAGAAGACGGTGTTGGCGTACTTGCCAGTGGCGCGCTTCGACTTGGCGCCACCGGGGATGGATTGGTTGGCGTCCACTTTGACGGAGGCAACACGGGCGAAGGGGTTGGCGCCACACTGCAAGCTGAATCAGCATCCTCGTCTGTGTCAGACAGAACATAAGCGCACCGACTCGGGGAGGCGGACGACGGTGTTGACGGCTCCGTGGCCCTCGAAAAGATGCTCGCAAGCAGCAGAGTTGCAGACGAGGCGGATCTGCTGCGAGAGGGCATTGGCGTCGCAGCTCAGGACACTCCAGCCACCAGCAGACGTGATGTCAGATACCGCCTTGTCTCCACCAACCTGAAGAGCCAGCGTCAGTACTTTAGAACGAGAGACATTTGTCAACGCACGATCGAGAGGACACCCGCGTTGGGGAGGTCATATGCGCACGAACCGCGGCATGCCTTATTCCAGTTGTTGCGCAGAGCCAGCGCTGACACGGGGGCCAACAAGAGAAGGAGAAAGAGCATAGCGGGCCCGGACGTGTGTGGGGGCAGGGAGACCGGTAGGCAGCGTGCGGTCACCCACATGCGTCGAATAAGTAGAAAACTGGGGAAGGCACATCAGCACGCGGGTGATTGCGAAGAAGCATGCTCGCACTGTCAGATGGTCGTGTCGTGCATATGACGCTGTCTTGGCGGCCGCGAGAGACCAGCGGAACAAGACGAGGGAGGGGAGAGTGGCCCAGGGACGATACACGTGTTAACTGGAGAGATTGGCGCCGAATGGCCAAGTGGGGGCAGCTGCGTCAGGGTGCTGCTGCGAATCCGCGGGGGGGGAATGGCGCGACAGGACGCTGGGTGGTTGATGGACCCTCGCCCAGCAACGATTGTCGGTGTCGAAGTGTGTGGGGTCAGAGCTTGGGCAGAGCCAAGATGAGGTGGCAGCCGTCGTCACGGTAACATATCATTTCGGTAGGCTCGGCCGATTCGGGTCCGATTGCCATCTTGCCCATGAGCGCTGAGCGCGAGCGCTGAGCTGCGAGTGGGGGGCTAACACGCAGCTGAGTAGTTGCCGTGGCTTCACCCTTCCTTATATACCGTTTCAGAAGCACTGCCTCCAAGTCTCCGAGTCATGCGTTCCTCAGGCGATTACGCGTACACTCCATCGAGTGTGGGTCCTCCCGTGAGTCTTGGTTTCCCATGTCAAACGAGGTGATGCACGACGGGCCCGAGTGTGGGTCCTCCCATGAGTATTATTTTCCTATGTCAAACCAGGCGATGCACGACGGCGTCCACCTCCCTGCTATTTCCGGTACTATCCCACCGCTTCCCAGGCACATTCTGAGTCGACAACAACACGAGGCGTTGACACAATCACTCCAACTCGTGTGCGACCACTGTGGGTCCAGAAGTGCCACCTATCGTTTCCCAGGAACAAATAATGACTCCGCAGGCATTCTGCTTCGACGGCGATGAGAGCTCGGATGGGAACAACGAAGAGGAACTCACACCGCCGGCATTCCATTGCCTCCCGGAATTCCGGGAGGCTACGGGCACCTGCAGCTCATCTGTCAGGCACCTGCCTTGGCGTTGCAGCTCAAGCCACAAAGAGAATCTTTTTGAATGAAAGAACGGGGCTTCGGCCCTGGACCTCCGGCTCGGGACACCGGTATGACGTGAGAATTTGATAGAACCTGTAGATTAGATCATCCAATAAAAGCATGTTCTGCCGTTCCACAGCCTGAGTTTCCGCCTCTGTCCCATGAACACCCAGCTTTGCTTTTGTGAAAGCTGCCAGCCTGATGGGCAACTTTTGACTAGACAAACCTATGCAAAGCATACCAAAGCTCAGCAATTAAGGGATTCTCTGGGTGAAGCCCAATCAAGGCCTAGAAATCAAAGCAGGCATACTAGCAGGGCTAAAACAGGAAACATAGAGTCTCAATCAAGTCCTAAAATTGCTAATTCAGCTGCTGTCCCCCCTTTGGCTCAAGTACTTGAGACAGTGGAAATTCCACCTGAGGTTTTTGAGAATGGTAAGCAAATGACAAAGCAGCTTGTGTAAATATTCTAATCAGATAATACTAGCACTTCAACCTATAGGACAGTTATCTATCCTGTTGGTTCTATGGCTCAACCTCTCAATGGGACTTAGCCGTGATGCAGCAAATAAAGTTCTAAACAGCTTAGGCCTGATTTTACTCTTAACTCTAGAAATAATCTGGAGTGTTCTCAAGGCCTCTGGAATAAATTTACAGATCCCTCAGATTCATATTCCCAGGGATATACGAACAGCATACAAATTATCTTCTGAACCTGAAATTGAAAGAACAATCTGTTGTTCAGAATGTTTTTCCATGTATCCACAGGGAATGGGACAAATACCTAGGAAATGCTCATATAGACAATCACCTCAATCCGCCATCTGTGGCACCCCTTTATTCAAGTCTATCAAGACTCTCTCTGGTACTAGAGATATTCCTGCTAGGCAATTTACCTCTCAGTCATTTGATTCCTTTCTATCATTTTTTTTATCTCGTCCTATTATAGTTACAGCATTACAGCAATCTGCAACAGACAGTGCTAATAGGGTGCTTAGTGGATATCCTGCTGTTATGAAGGATGTTAAAGATAGCCCACTTTGGAAAAGCCTTGGAAACTATGTTCTTGGACCATACAACCTTGTTTGGTCAATGTACATTGATTGGTTTAATCCTTATACCAATAAAATATCAGGTAAGAGTCACAGATAATATTCTTAAAATTTTATACTTATGGTGAATTAGGCAAAGTTAACTCAGTTGGTGCAGTTGTATTGTTCTGTCTCAATCTACCAGCACATCTGCGGTTTGAAACTGAGAACTGCTTTTTCTGGAGCTTGATTCCAGGGAAAAAAGCACCTGATGTTCATCAAATCTGGCATGTTATCCAAGCGCTGGTTAATATCATGAAGGATTTTTGGAATCCTGGCAAGAAAATCAAAACTACCCTGAATGCTGCAGGAGTCTTAGTTCAGTCCTTGATTATTCCTCTTCTTGCAGATCTTGCTGCAATTCGCAAAGTTGCAGGCTATCTTGGGCATAGTGCTGATATGTTTTGTACATATTGCATGATCACTCTCAAAGAGATTGCACGTCTGGATTATGATAACTGGGAATTCCGCAGTAATGAGACTGTTCGAGCAGCAGCAGCAGCTTTCTTAGCAATCAATGCCTTTACTGCCAGAGAAGCTCAAGCCTCAGAGACTGGTGTCAGATGGTCACCTATGTTTGATCTTGCACTCTGGGATCCTGTAAAACATCTTATCCTTGGGTTTATGCATAATTTTCTAGAGGGAGTTGGTGGGACCCATATTCGCTCACTTTGGGGTATAGGCCGCCAAGTAGCCAAAGCAACAGAAGTTTCAGAAACTGTAAGGGCAACCCCGGAGGCCTGAGATCAAGGTCCTAGCAGGGGAGGATCCAAAGCGTGAACATTGGTAAGTGAATACAAATGAAGCTGACCTAGCAGGGGAGGATCCAAAGAGAAGAAACTCTAAGGGTCCGCCTGCTAGGTAGCTGACTATATACTGCTTGTCCGTAGCTGCCGCTGTCGGGCACAGAAGGCTTGGGCGGCGTCGCAGGTGAGGTCCCAGGGCGACCGTCGGGAGGGCGTTGACGGATCGGTGATTGTGCGGGCGAGATGGAGGGCCGGACCGGAGTCGGAACCGGAGTCGGACCGGAATCGGGCGCGTCTCCGGGCCGAAAGGGAGGTTCCCCTGACATCACCCCCCCCTTTGAATGCGGCGTCCCGACGCATAGACCGGAACGGGATCGAGTCGAAGGTCGCGGAGGCGATGTGTCGTGGCTTGCCAGGGTACTTACGATAGAACTCCGCAATTTTCTCCGGGGCGAAGACGCGGTCGAAGCGGACCCATTGGTCGTGCGATGCGTCGTAGCCTTTCCATCTGACGAAGTAGTTCAGCTGTTTATACCTCACCACCCAGTGGCGATCCGGTCGCGGAACTCGTTCACTGACTCCATGGCGGAACGGACTCCGGGTTCGAAGCCCATGCGCGGGAGCCGTCCCGTGTCCGTCATGAAGGGGACCTGCTGCGTAGAGGAGTGAACGTGGTTGTTGTAGGCGAACTCCGCGGCCGGAATCAGCTCATCCCAGTCGTGCTGCTGGTAGTTGGTGAAGATCCGCAACTCCTGGTTGACGCGCTCTGTCTGACCGTCTGTCTGCGGGTGGTACGCGGTGGACGTGGCGGGCTTGATGCCGATTAGACGCCAAAGTTCTCGGGTGAAGTCCGCAATGAACTGCGAGCCGCGGTCGGAGACGTACTTCTCCGGAGTCCCATGGTGCCGCCAGACATTCCGGTAGTAGAGGCGGGCTGCCCCTACTGCATCGACCGTCGTATGACACTCTGAGAAGTGGGCGCGCTTTCCGAGGGTGTCAACGACGACCATGATCGCGTCGTACCCATGGGCTTCGGGAAGCTCTACGATGAAGTCGACGGAGACGGTATGCCAGCGTTCCGGGGGCGTTTCTGTGGGGTGCAGTTCTCCGTGGGGCAGTCTCCGGAGTGCCTTGGTGCGACAGCACAAGTCACAGGTTGCAACATACCGGCCGATATGGCGAGACATCTGAGGCCACCAGTAGTTCCGGGAGACCAACTCCAGGGTCTTGAAACGACCTGCGTGTCCGGCAACTCGGGTGTCATGGCAGAGCTCGATGATGCGTCTCCGGAGGTCCTTGTCCTTTGGTACGACAATTTTTCCTCGGAAATGGAGAAGACCGCCGGAGACGGCCCACTCGTCAGAACGTGAGGAGCGGGGGCCTCGAGCTTGACCTTGAACCTTAAGAAGTTGCCGGGCCGCTAGTGCGACGGGCTCCTCCAGGTCAGGCTCACCGGAGAGGCCATCACGGATGTCGCGGAGGAGTTCAGAGCTGGGACCGGAAACGGAAACGCCCTCGAGTGCGCGGACGTGGAAGAGTTCAGGCCGCAGAAGGACGACATCGGAGTTGTCGGAATCGACTCCGTGGTCGGGTCTCCGGGAGAGGGCGTCAGGCCGACCCATATCGCGGCCAGGCTTGTGGTGCAGCGTGAAGTCGAACCGGGAGAGGTACAGAGACCACCGGGCCTGTCTCCGGTTGAGGTGCTGCGTCTTCCTGAAGTACTCCAAATTCTTATGGTCAGTCCAAATCTCGACAGGGTGCGCGGCGCCCTCGAGGAAGTGTCTATACTCCTCGAGTGCGCGGATGATCGCGAGCATCTCCTTGTCGTGGGTTTCGTAGTTGCGCTGGACATCATTTAAGCTTTTGGAATAGAATGCTACACGGTGCCACTTCCCGTCCGGGGCGGATTGTGAAAGAACCGCCCCCGTCGCATAATTAGAGCTGTCCGCCTCAAGTCGGAAAGGCCGTGCGTCGTCCGGAATCGCCAGGACCGGTTCCGAGGTGACCGCGTCCTTTCATCGCTTGGAACGCGGAGGCCTCATTTCCTTAACTATATGTCCACATATGCAAATTATATCTAATAATTAGCTGTATTATTCGCTCCGTTGATGCGATTGATGGCTGTGATGTGATCACCAGAGTTGGAATTG